GTAATTCGCCTCCCCCTTCTTCCCACTGTCGTCGGTACAGTGTGTTCGAACACGTTGAAAGAGAGTTCTGACACAACTGCCTTTATGACCAACAGGACGGTTGCTTCAGAAGTGGAAGATGCGCCTTGTATTTGTTTCCTTAAGGTAAACTGTTGTTCTTATCGTCCCGTCTGTCGATTTCGTAACTTGTACGTCCTGGAAGGACAATTGATTGTTGACTTCCTCTTCCACAGTAAACTGAATGTCGGGAAAGATTGCATTTTACAATGCCTTGAAAGCCTTCACCTCGCTCCTCTTGAGTAGAAGGGATGGTTCGTCGAGGTATCTGGCCTAGAACTTCGGGAAGTACGAGCTGAGGACCAGCTGTTCGAGCCTTGGCAAAACAGCTTCGGCAATTTGTCTACACGGAGGCGAGCCCATCGGTGTCCCCTTATTTTGCTCATAGAGTTGGCCGTTGAATGTAAAGAAGATCATAAGACGCAGTTTTATGAGCTCGATGGTGTGTGCTCATTTGAGCTGTTGGTCGGACTCATCATACCTTTCCCGGGGATAACCGTCAATTGAGTCGATAGCCAGTGTGAGTGGAATGGAGATGAACAAAGAGATCACGTCAAAAGACGCCATCACCACATCTGCCTCCACTTCGAGATGTTTGATGCGCGTCAAGAACTCTTCAGCCGACTTCAGTATCCACACCGAATCCTCAGAAAGGAAACAGCGTTGATGGTATAGCTAATTTTACAGCCCAAAGTTTGGGGTGCCAGGTAAGGAGACGCTGGTACGTAGCGGAACTCCCGGCTTGTGGACCATTACTAGGCCTTTGAAGCGCGCCATTGCGGCATCACTGGAATTTGCGGCCAGCGCCTCCCTTCTAGTAAAAGCGCAAGCATTCCTCAACTTGCCGATCGTCATGTTTATGCTGTTTACGAGCTTTTTGAACTCGCTGAGTGTCGCTGGCGCATAAGCTTCCTTGCCCATCAAATTTTTATGAGTCAAATCCAACGAAACTGAACAGCCGCTTCTAAGTGATATTCCCTCAGCACCCGAGCCAGAAACCACGACAACTGCCCCGTCCATAACGGTTAATGCCGAAAGTCCAAAAACAGTTCGTAACGCCCAGAAAACTCTTGGATCGGATGGGCCCAGCGTATTCGTATTGAGGCAATTACCGAATCTACAGGCCATCATTCGCCACCGTCCTCAGCGGCTTCCTCCAAATCAGTTAAAACTGGCGTCAATCATCTAAACCGCGATATAGAATGTGTTCCACCACCGCCATCTAATACCCTTAAAGTACCACATCCATCAGAGAGAAATACGTCAAAAAAATATACGAACGATATCGCCAGTGACCAATGTCTCGTTATTCAGGGGCTCCCTGAATCTAATGCCAACACTCCTAGAGAGCGGGTTTCGGAAGATCTAAGGCTTTTCCAGGGCTTTCTCAACAATATCCTGGAACCCACTGAGGCAATTGAAGTACTCAAATCCTTTCGTCTCCGAAAACGGACCAAAAGTCTGCCAACACCAACACAGCCCCGACATCTCAAGGTTGTGCTGGCTTGTAAGGAGCAAGCTGGGTTGATTCTATCTCGGCGCTTTAGAGTAAAAGGGACCAACCCCGGCGTTTTTTTTCAACCGGATTACTCACCAGCAGAGAGGCTGAAACGTCGTCTTCTAGTTCTAGAGCTGAGGAAGAGACTCAGCGAAGGAGAACGGAATTTGGTTATCTACAGCCCATCATCCTTTCTCTGGACGGCCTCGATCGGGATGACCGCGCAACTGGAATAGTAGGCGAAAGTCCTAGACCCACCAAAATAACTTCTCTGCCAACCATAAATCGTAAGCTGAGATTTCTATATACAAATGTGCAGAGCATGTTATTGAAAATTGACGAGCTAAATATCCATGTATCTGATCTATCCCCGGATATAATCTCACTTACAGAAACTTGGCTGAACCAGCAGGTGGACAACCGTGAGTTAACTATACCAGTTGTTTAGAAGAGACAGGTCAGGACGTCAGGGCGCAGGTGTACTCACGCACGTAAAACACGGGCTTATAGTCTCAGACAAAACAGATAAACTTTCTTGTGCTTCTGAGGCAATTAGGCTAACTATAAAAGCACCGTGTTCACCGAGCCTTGACGTCCTGACGGTCTACTGACCGCCGAGAAATGATCCCACGGCGGACGCCCGTCTGATTGAGGACCTGGAAAGATTCTCCACCCGGTCTGACGTCTTAATTATGGGGGACTTTAGTAACGTTTGTTTTTTTTTATTGTCCAATGTCTGTTGAATGTGTGTTGGCATCTAATTCGTCTCCCTCAGAAACTGAGATAGCATCAACTATCCATAGACAGACTACTGTACAGCACACTTAGTAACGTTAATGTTTTAATTCTTGGAACAATTCGTTTATCTGTCTGGTTCGAAAACTTTACCAATCTGAAGACACTCTGTAGCTGTTTGATGTTTCCATTTCAACTTTTTGATAAAATTCGCTTCCTTGTAACAAATAGGGAGTTAAATGGCTCAACACCTATATTTCCCTCAAATAAACTGAACTGAATTGAAACCCTCACAT